ATCGAAGTCTTCGGAGCATTGCCCGAATCGGGTGGGAACACCGGATTAGCAATTCTGAGGTACGTCGAATGGTATTCGGGAGAAATGAGTCACCCTCAATAGCTGAACTGATCACACTGCATAGGTTTCGCTGGCTTGGCCAAGCGCTGCGTATGCGAGTCGACCAACTTCCTCGAAGGGCTCTTTTCGCACAACCACGTGAAGGGTGAATGGGAGCCGGAGGCGGCCAAACAATGATTTGGCAGCGAAGTATAAAAGCTGTTACAAACTCAGCTTGGCTGGTCATTGCCGTCTTCCTGGATGGTACCCCGAGACGGGCCACATCAGTCGCTAGAAACATTGTCAGACATGGTCCAGTCGCGTCCTCAATGGCACTTGTGCTTCCAAACTATTGCCTTCAATGCGTAGCTCCCTTCCTAATCCCCCCCATTTAACAAGCCACCTAATGTTGTATTCACGCACTAATTTATCAGTTCCTGCCTCCAACGCGCAACTACCTATCCCACCTCCCTGAATCATCGGTGAACAAAACTGTGGGAGCTACAGCCACTATACGGCAAGTACGCGGTTATTACACCTGACAATGATGTGACTCGTTTTCTAATAGTATCGTTTTGGATTCACCGGCACCAATCTATATGAGCTACGGTTCTGAGACAAGAGTTGACCATGACGTCTCGATTGCGCTCATCGAAAAGACCATATCTCATGGTTATACAAGTAAGCATTCTGTATCATTGCCTGAGACTCAGGGATGTACCGATTTGACACCATAGGCGTCTCAAATTAGCAAATGCGATCTGAACCCCTACCACTAAAGTGAGAACTAATATAACTTCCAAGATATATACGACCCTTCACAAATTGGAGTGCCGCTCCTTGGGATGCAACTGGCGTGTTCAGCGACTGTATGTCCAGGAGCATGGCCTTGAACCTTGTGAAGACAATATGCATGCCAAAGACTCATGTGCCTTCCTCTCCTCTTCCGAGACGAGAACAATGCTGTTTGCGTACTCCACATCGACAAGGTCTTTTTCAAGAGATATTTGAGCACCAGGGTTTTGAAGACCTTCTAATGCCTGCCTGCCTTGTCGACTGGAAGATAACATAGGAATGGGATGGGAATCCCTACCATCCCTACCTACTATATTGTGTACAAAAACTTATGGAGAACTCTATAAAAGCTCGCAAACTTGGAAGTCTGAGAATACAAAGAACCTATCACAGACATAAGTTTCCGATGTAGTCCTGACTGAGAAGGCATACTAACAACAGCAGACCGAGGCAATTTCACGTTGGTGATGCAGGAATACAAAGTGTGTGAGTCGTTTGTACGTATGGCGTGGTCCTAGCACCTGACAGGATGTCAAAAGTTGGTTGACGCAACCCTGACTAGGCTGAAATCAAGCTTGCTGCTCTCGAATCAATATTTCACGCACCACTATAGAGCGATGAAGGACAAACGACTTCAAGTTTCGTTAGGATTGGAGTCAAGTAAATCAGAGAGGCGCTGACTAACAACTTCACCCGTATCTCTGAACAGTGCTAGTGAGAGACCATCCGGACCAGGAGGTCGGTGGCGCCTATAACACATGTAGCCGTAAACCTCCAAGGCCGTTCTGAGTTTAAGGTTCTGCTTCATTTGTGAGGTCCAAATATGTGGCTCAGGATGGCCGTAACAACTGATGTTCAAAGTGCCCAGCCCAATGGTCGAGGTGTCCTTCTGTATGCAAAATGGTTGCGCCAGTATAACCATTGGCGGTTTCACTCACAGGCGGTATAAGGGGTCCGTCGCAGGGACCAAAATAAATAATCTACAGGCATTTCTGGGTTTCTGAGCCTATCCCATTTCCTTGACCTTCCGTGTCCATCAGGCTTCACGGTCGGCGGGCACGCTAATAGTGACTTATCGTCTGAGCAGACCTGATAGCGTCACGTCAAGGGCGAAAGTTCCGGCAGTGTAAATACTAAACGATATCGTTCCAGTCTGAACTGATATCAGATGGAAGAGCAGTTGATTATGATAAAATCGTCTAAAAATGTGATTCTCCGGTCTCTCAGTTGCCCTTACACACCCCTAGAGAACGCAAAGTGACTTCTGACGAATGTATGGTCAGTCCACAGAAGTGCTCCAAATCGAGTAACAGCTATTGGTCCACGCCATCGGTAGCCGATGGCGATATTATATAATTTGGATGCGTGGCTGGCACACCGGTGGAAGACACCATGTAGCGGGCGGCTTCGGTTAGCGCCATGGTACTGCATAAAAACAGTCCGCGGTCAGGATAACTAAAACAGTCGTTCATCGATGTCTTTTCTTACCAAACACAATCCAAGTCAAATTAACAACTGAAACAAATGCAGTAAATTTTCCGAGTTGCGAATTCAGAGCCCTGGCAACCAGAACGACGTCCGAGTACTTAACTGGCCTAAACAGGGCCTTCAAGGCGTCACATGAAAATAAAAACATTGTTCAGCTGTAGCATCCTTTCGGTTCCTAACTGCCATGCTACCAGAAGGAAGCATGAGGGCTGGGATACCACCAGGTCGTCCAAGCCTAGACAGGGGGAGTTGAGAGGCAGAGGTCGGGTTCGAACCAAGACCTATTGGTCAGTAAATCCGCGTTCTAAACACTGAGCCATCTCGCCCCTAGGCGCCACAATTTATCCTTAAATGTGTCAGAGCTACGGTCAGTTGGTGCGTAAGCGGCTACAACTAACAGACAACGATCAGCTTCCCGATTGTGAGACCCCTTCAAGGACGTTGCTAGATGAGACTGACGATTATCGACGGGCACCCAGTCAAGCAGCGATCCTTCCGCCCAGCCGCTTCGGACGACTCTTGCACATTCCGCTGTAGCGGCCTGTGGATCACCAGAGATACGCGACTGGACAGTGATGGGGCTTGCGTTCTGAATCCTTGTAAATGTCAAGCGAGTACGGTGAGTGCAAGAGAAGCCTGGTCCAGTGTGAATATTAAAAGCGACCTGATATACCAAACGTCGAGGTCTGACTGATATCTGATGCTGTCGGCAAGGGCTGACGCGCAGTTTGCTGTCAAGATCGATGCAAGACCAACGACTTTGGCCCACATGGAGAGATTTTTATGGGGTAGGGGTGGGAAAAACAGTGACAGAGGAAGATGGGAAACCTCAGAAATAGCCTGCTTTCATTTACTCACCTTGATTTATGCAGGAAGACAACCCAGCAAATGACACCATTACTCTTAATTGTAGGAATCAATGTTATACGTGGGCTGGGATAATGTCAGGTCGCCCAGAACTAGACAGGAGGACGACTTTCGCCCAAGTTTGATCGTCAGGCAGCGGTGTTGGGCGGAAAATGTCGGTGCATCCCTTATTTCAAAGAGCGAGTCGCCATACATTTTTTACTTCTCAAGCTGAAGGACCAGAAGTCTGTTGGCCACACCTGCAGTCATTGAACAATCTGGTATGAGACTGCGAGTGTCGCACGGACGCCCATTGGGTCACGGGGGCATACGAGCCATCATACCACGGTAAGGTCGGGTAGCTTCGTGACACTGGCAGTAATAAAATCAAGCAAGACCTTAGCAACAGGTGAATCAAGTCCAATGAATGATCCCTGTGTAGCTTACCTTAGTCTCACTCCGAAAGCCAGGCTAAGTTAACCCAACTATTAGGCTGATAGGATCGTCGCCACTAAGTGCATCTTGTGAAGCTCATCACATATGGACGCTATTCACAAAGTCCAGGAAAACGGTGTCTTATGTATTTGATGTTGGATTCGACTGGGTATGCATCGTCAACAGAACTATCAGGACTTTTCAAAGGAAAGCTGGCAACAATATAAGTCGATTATGAGCCAAGTGAATCCAGTGACCGGTCCACGCACGAAAGTTTAAACTTCGGAACTAATACTCAGCATCCAGTGAGTGACAGTAATTTACATTAGCCGTGCTACTGCTAACTTCTTCCAAATTAGGTGCTTCCGTGCCCCATCTTCGATTTTCATTAGTCAGATCACTTTGGTGGGACATTACTTCCAACCGAATGCTCACCGGCCGTCTGAAAGGTAATAAATTATGACGACAGAACTACTCCAAAACATCCACGTGATCAAGTACGGCCCTGCATGGGGGCTACCGCCTTAAGCGAGTAATTCTTCCATACAAATACTAGCGGTTGGTGAATAATCGGATGGTCAACTAGCTGCTTTTCGCCGCTTACATATAACTGGCCCAGAGTATCACCCTAACACGCGATCAGACGCCCCCATACCATCGGCGAATAAAATTCAGCAACTTAAACCGTCACATCTATGTACATTGCACTCCATTATTCCCACTAATCAATATCCATCAACTTTTTTCAGAGCCAAAACCAGAGAAGACAGCTTATAATTGGGATATACAAGACAATTTTCCAGGAGACAAAACTTACTGCTGCACCAAGCATAAGGTGACCCGTTTCCCAACAAGTTTCAAACGAATCAGGTCAGATTTCCCATAGGTATGAAAACCCCAAGACTTCAGACGCCATCAGTTTACCGACGACAGCTTACTCTCGCGACCAGTCGATTCTGCTTTAAAACGTTCATTTAGGGATCGCTTGCTATCCACTCAAACATGGTGTGAATAGACAGTATAATGAACAGAAGTCACGAATGCATGCACCCTATTTAGCCCACAAAAACGTTGGAAATTTGAGGTACGTGTTAGGCAACAACCGAGCAACATTACTTTTATTTCTGATAAGAATGCAAAACACGGTTGAAAAGAAATGAAGCATACAAGTTCTGAAATGTGTACATGCAATGGAACGCGTAGTGGAACGGAGATTGGAAGTAAAGAACGCATAAATCCCAGAATCGAACAAGTAAACGCAGCTGACTCAAAGCTCATCTTTTGCATTACTGGGTTCTCCAACCTGAGTAGGAAGTAAGAAGTGGGAAGTAAATTCCGGCATTCAAGGAAAAAATCTAAGTCCGTGCGAACCCAGGATAGAACTAGACAAGACTTACCTCGTCAGACGGTGTTTTTGCTGGTGATTCGTCGGTGTCCGGTCCGGAGGTATTAATCGAACCAGCTTTCTATAGCAAGGATATAAACCAAGAAAATAATCAATACTCACCTCATCTGCATCTTCGTCGGTGACTGGTTTCTCTTCCCTAAGGCTTTCAGATTCCTCTGGCTCTGGCTCCACTTCTTCATGCTCGTCGACCGCAAGATTTTTGCGCATGACCAGTTCGACCTTACGCGCAAACTCAACAGGGTCCCTAAGGGCATACCCGGAACGCAAAGTTGCTATGTGGAACAGGAGCTCCGCCGTATCCTTCGCGACAGGATCTGAGGCATCGTGTTTGACGCGTGTGTTGAGCTCCTTCACCAACGGATGTCTCGGATTTAATTCCATCGTTTTTGGCATTTTAGAGTAGAAATCGGCTGACGAATCATCACCTCTTTGATGCGCCTGCGCTCTCATTATTCGTTCCATATTACCTGACCAACCATACCTCCCAGCCACAAGTGCACATGGGCTATCTGATAAGCGCTCAGACAACTCGGCTTTTTCAATCTGGTCTTTCAGGGCATCTTCTTTCATCCACTTAAGCAAACTCTCAAACTCTTTCTGCTGAAGTTCTCTCAAGGCTTTCTTGGTTTCAGATGTATCCAATGACAGGCCATCTCTGGCGACATTTTGTAGTGGCTTGCTTTCGAACTCCGTGAAGGACTGCATCATAAACTCGTCCAAGGGATCGATCATGTATACAATCTCATATCCCTTTTTGACAAGGCGCTCGACAAATGGGGATGACCTTGCTTCCACTAAAGATGATGCCGTCAGATAAAATATCTTGTCCTGGTCCTTCTTCATGTGAGAAACGTAGTCAGTCAGATTTGACATTTTCTCCCCACTCAAGGATGTACGGAAGCGTAAAAGTTTTGATAACCTTGCCCGGTTGGTTTGATCTTCAACCATACCCAGCTTCATGTGAACGCTAAATTCTTTCCAGAATTTCTCGTAATCCTCTTCCGATAGTTTACCAATGAGCTCGATAACTTTCCGTATAAGCTTCCGCCGGATAACTTTAATAAGTTGATTTTGTTGGAGCATCTCCCTAGAGACATTGAGCGGTAGGTCATCACTGTCGACAATTCCCACTACGAAACCCAGATATTTCGGCAGCAAATCTTCAGCAACATCAGATATAAAAACACGGTGAACATATAGCTACAAGAAATAGAAGTTATGTAAAGATATATTACTTTTATTCTGTCCTTGTAACTGTACTGAACGTTGAATACGTCGCCAGGTGATCGCTTGGGGATGAACAGTATGGCAGTAAACGAAGCATCACCTTCGCCTTTAAAATGGATTCTTCCAAGTGGTTCGTCTTTGTCACCACTAAGAGCTTGATAAAAACTTCTATATTCTTCTTCTGTGATGTCCGCCGGCTTTTTCTTCCAGATCGGCTTTTGTTCATTCATTAAAACCCAATCCCAAACCGTCTTTTCGGTGGTTTTCTCGGTATCTTTCTTCTCCTCTTCAACCTAAACCGAATAGAGAATTATGTGTCACAACACTTACGCTAGCGTCAGCATCATCAGCCGGATTTTCCTCAGGTTCTCCAGGGGTCACATTGACTTTTTCCACATGACTGGACCAGAGATAGATTGGGAAGTTAATGAATTGACTGTATTTCTTGATGTATGTTTGCAATGTTTCAGGCTCCAGATAATCATCAGCATCATCGTTCAGAAAGATGATTATTTCTGTACCACGTTTTAGTGTGTCGCCACGAGGATCTTCAGCTATATGAAACTTCTTTGCATCTGACTCCCAAATGTACTGCGAGGACCCGTTCTTTTTGGAAATAACCATGACCTTCTTACCGACTGAAACAATAAGAGACTCCTTGACCTACCCAAGAATGAAGAATAGAACCCGACACCAAACTGGCCGATAAGGTCTGACGCATCTGCTCCTGACTGAGTCGAAGTCCACTTGGAAAGAAAGTCTGCTGTTCCCGATTTGGCTATGGTTCCCAGGTTAATGGCGAGATCGCCCTTGCTCATTCCGATCCCTGTATCGATTATGTGCAGAGTTCGAGCTTCCTTGTTTGCCTACAGAATCAGATCCGTGTGTTCTTCCTTACCTTAATACGGATACTAAGTTCTTCAGTGGCTTGAAGTGCTTCTCGATCGGTGAGGGATAGCAATCGTATTTTGTCCAGGGCATCTGAGGCGTTTGAAATAAGCTCCCTGAGGAATATCTAAAGACTCGATTCCCATAACGCAATACTACAAACCTCTTTGTTCTTGTAGAGGGAATTGATAATCAACTTCATCATTTGGTTGACCTCCGCCTGGAACTCGCGCTCCTCCGCTTCCGCACGCAGAGCAGCCAATCGGTCCGCATTCAGTCCATCGATAAAGACGGCTTCAGATTCTCTGAACGAAACGTGACCTACTGGACCGGAACAAACTTTTTTGCGGTATCGGATGTCGTAGAAAGGCCTTCACTTGTTTTAATGACGTTTATGTCGGCCTCATTTATGGATGGTGTGCAAAAGGCACAGGATAAAATGACTTAAGTGCAATCACTGAGCCAAAACACAATCACTTACCGAAGACACCAAAAAGCCCCAGGTAGAATGAAGACGCAGCCCGCCCCATCGAAACGATACGGAAGACCGGAAAAACAAGACCTTAAAATGGAGCCGTGAGAATGTGTTGAAATCTGATTGGTCGAATAAATTGCAATCGGTATAGATAAATAAAAGCCAGTTTGTTTTGCACACTCCGGACCACATTAGGGGGTAGGTTATCAGGTAGGCTTGATCAACTGATAATTGCAAGATCACTAAGGTACAAGCGTTGCACCCTACCGTTCTTCACGCAGTTTCTTGACACATCTCATCCCATCGATTGGGAGATCCTGCTTTACCCGCATTTTCAAGTCCTGTGACTGCCTGGCACCAGTAGCCTTAGCTTCATCTGTCTTCCACGGACGTCATCCAGAGTTTTGATCCGTATCTCAAAACAAGAGTTCTGGAAGAACCTAACTACCAATGAAGCAATATCACTCGCAGAACACGTTTTCATGAGGGATCGAAAATGCGTTCTGCGTTCTCACTTTAATGGACATCCTGATTAAAAAATGACATATTCATCTCGATTGTCATACCTTCCGACTTTCCAGGGACATTCGATCGCGCCCTTCGCATCTCAAAGCCTCTCATATTGTGAGTATATGGCGTCCAGTCCCGATACTTGGGGGTTCATTCGAAGTTTCTCCGCATCCGGTGTTCGAAAAATGGCAACTTTTACGTAGAGTTGTCAATCCCTTGGCATCCATTTACACCCTCACATATTCTCAAAGGGTCACACTTTTGTCATCTTGGGTATGAGTGTACTAGAAGTCAGCTTTGGACGCAAAAGTAAAATTTAAATTGCTGCATGGGTCCGCAGCCGTTCACTGGAAGTACACCGAAATTATTTTCCCTCAACTGTGGTGTTCTCTACGTTGCGAACTTCACTGGAAGGTTTTCTTATCCGTTTGCATGTTTTGCTGATGGTGAAGCAAAAGTTCAAGGCCATCTACCATAACCGATTCGTATTTCGATTACAGGTAGCGAGACAATGCACGAAACCAAATTTAGCATCTTCTGACGTTCCGCGGTGTTCTTAAAAAGTGAGGAAATGTGGGAGAATTAGGTTTCGGACGTATATCGGAATAACCAGACGAACTAGAAATCCAGAATTCAGTTCGGCGTAACAGGTAGCACGTATGTATTCGAATTGGCGTATATGTATAGCATATGGAATATTAAAACAAGAGAATAATGAATAGAGCTGGCTGCATTGAATTCAGAAAATCGCTTTGGTAAAGACAACAGACGCACATCATGGGTAGCTTTTTAGCAGCATGCAATATGACATCTTGGTATGTCCCAACCGTCTCCAAAACTTTTGCAACAACATTCATAACTTGTTGAAATAAAACTGGTGAAACATTCGGACCAAAGGGAAGGGAATTGTATCTGAGTAACCCCAAAGGTGTGTTGATAACGGTAAGTGTGACAATTAAGTTTCGTACGTATATCGGTATAACCAGACGAAATAGAAATCCAGAATTCAGCGCAGCGTAACAACCAGCACCTATGTGTTCGATTTGGCGAATATGTACAACATATGGACCATTAAAACAAGAGAATAACGAATAGAGCAATGAATAGAGTATCAGCCATGTTCATCACATCCGCCACACCTTGAATGAGCGTATGGATGTTTATAGTCCAGTGGTGGTCTTGACCGCAACTTTCGGATCTTCTCGGAATGGAAACTTCAGACTGTTCACAGGTTGTGTGTTCTTCATATACGTTTTGTTCAGATACCATAAGATTATCTACAAAGGACCCATTAATATTTGAAACAGCAAGAGTACCGTTAACAGACTGACCACCGGTGTTAAACTCGACCTGATTAGTGTGTCTCTGATGACAAGATGGGTCATCCAAATCGAGAATTGTGACTATCCGTTTGTCGTTTGATGAAAGTACTTTCCTGCAATAGGTCGTGAATCACTACTTTTGAAAAATGTAGCATCAGCCGTTTTGGCACAGTCAAGACTTGTACGCAACGAACGAGATTTAAATAGAAGCGCGGGACTCTTCCCAGTAACGGGAGGAACGGCATTCTTGTATTGCATTAGAAAATTATCAATCCCACGGTCCAATTCCATAAAAGTAGGAGGAGAGAATGAAAAAATGACAGATTTCAGTGTTCGGAAAAAATTCTCAGCAAGTTTATTAGACTGCGTATGTCGTAGAGCAGTAAACAGAACAATAAACAGATGTCTACACCCAAAACCTTTTGACCATTCCTCGAGGAATTTTGCAGTGAAGTGTGTGCCGTTGTCAGTGACCAAAACAGTTGGTACACCTTCATGACAGAATACTTTCCTCAGTGCTTGCTGTGTGAATTCGGCAGTTGGAGACGCAATTAGAAAGAATTCAGGCCAACCTGAATATGCGTCAATAAAAATTAAAGCATTGTATTTACCAAGAAAAGGATCACAGTAGTCAGCATGAACTCGTTGAAACGCTTCACATGTAACTGGCCACGGATACCACTGTGAAGAGTTGTTATGACTCTTATGTACACATATAACACAATTGTTAGCAATATACTTGATGTCAGTATCCGGTTCTGGCCACCAGCATGATGTGCGTGCAGGTTATTACATTTTATCGACACCCAGATGACCAGAGTGCAAATCTGCAGCGACAGCCGATCGCTGAGTCGGTAGGATGACAACTCTATCCTCAAAACAGCAAACCATCCGGAGTAACGGATAAGCCTTCGCGGCGACAGTAAAAGGCAGAAAATTGGCGTCGTTCTTGTTGCGTCCAGCCACGTCGCAGTGCAGAAAAAATGGGAGCGAAATATCTTCTAGTGTCAGCAACAAACACATCCCACTTGACTGGCAGTGATTAAATCAACGGACAAGCTGAACTGTTTGAATCAGAGTCGCATGGGCGAATTCTTGAAAGAAACCGGAATGAGGAATCATTTTCGCACAAAAATGAACTATCGTGTAGGTGTTCGAACTCAGAGCAATAACCCACCGTTGGACCATAGCGGCAGGTGACTTCGCTGGACATTTTGTTGGGTGATACAAGAACTTCAAAGCCTCGTGGTCAGTAGCAATGATAAAGTTCGATCCAGAAAGATATTTAGGAAGCCGTTTGACAGCCCAATATGCAGCAAATGACTCTCATTGAGTCTGAGAATATCCACGTTAGGCTTTTGAAAGTCGATGGGAAATGCAGATCACTAGTCTACCATACTGTTCAAGGATTGCTCCTATTCCAGTGAAAGAATCATCAGTAGTGACCGTCGAGTGGTTTTTGGCGGAAGATGGCTTCAAAACAGCTGAAGTCTGAAGATAACCAAGCGGTACGCGCAACGTCTTTTCATGGTTGGAAGAACAAGAAAATTGATTAGCAGAAATGACATCAAGCAGGCAACCTGCCTGTTTGGCGAACTTAATAATAACACGGGAATAATATTGAAGTGCTCCTAGAATTGGGCGCAGCTCTTGTAGATTGGTGGATGATGGCGCATTTACTAAAATGGATAGACTTTTTGTATCGAGTTTAAAATCGCTGCCATCCACAATGTAACCAAGTCATGAAAATGATGGGACACCAAAAGTGCATTTATCAGGAGGAATAGCTACGATGAACTCAGGAAATCGCCTCAGTAAACACAACAGACGCATATCATGGGTAGCTTTGTCAACAGCGTGCACAATGACGTCGTCTACATACGTCTCAGCACCCCCAATTCTTTTGCAATTCATAACTTGCTAAAATGCAGTTGGTGAAACGTTCAGATCAAAGGGAAGTAAAGTGCATCGGAATAACCCAAAGGGTGTGTTAATCACGGTAAGGTAACTAGAGGCCTCGTCCAGTGGGATTTGAAGATAGGCACCTTTCAGATCGATATTTGCAAACGCACTTCAACCTGATAAACGATGCAGTACATTTTCTGACTCTTCCGTGGCGCACGTAAGTTGTAGTAGCCGTGTGTTTAGCGTAAGCCGGCAGTCACCACAAATTCTTGGGGTAATACCATCAGCCTTCAGTGGGGTAACTATCGGAGTTGCCCGATTCGATGATTCGACATGGGTCAGTATTACTCTCGCATACAGTAAATTTAATGCCTGACGAACAGGATCGTGTAATCCAAATGGAATTATTCGCCTCTTAAGAAGTGTAGGATCTCCTGTAACTTCGAGTCTCACCTTGGAAACTTGCATGCCACCTTTAGCCTCAGGACATTTCATAAACAGGTATTTGAGTTCATTCTCACTCAGAGAAGTCAGTAAGGTAATACTGGTCTGCAGTGAGCGCAGAACTTTGAGTCCGATAATCGACGGTCCCGAAGTTGAAACCAAAAAATTACAATCGATAGAGGTACCTGGTTATAACCTCACAGGGATCGTGGAATTACCAACTAGAGGTACAAAATGTCCAGTACTACCGAGAATGTTAACATCTGTAGGCACTATCACGGCAATGAGGTAGAATGCAGTTAGATCTGATTGTGGAATGATGGACTCAACACTATCAGTACCAACAATAAAGTCATGCTTTTGACCAGAAGCGGATGTCAACGTTTGAAAAACATGTGACGAATTTTGGGACAAAACAGATAGAGAAAGAGCAGAAGTATTTTCAGCTAATGGTTTAACGTCAGTATTTGTGTCAGAAGTTAAGTGACACACATTTTTTGGAGTAACATACAAGTTGAATGTGTCCTGTTTTACCGCAAGTAAAACACTTCGTTCGTCTGTAAGGGCATGAATATCTGGAATGGTTTCTTCCACAAAATTCACATTCCCCTAATTTTTGAGCTATCGGATTTCGGTTACAATCTGTGAAATGACGTGTTGATGGATTTGAGGCACGAAAATCTGTCTGAGGTTTGAATTTGTTGTTCGTCTGCATCCCTGAATTATTTCTTTGAGAATAATTTAACAAGACTGCTTCCTCCGTATTCGTCACATGCTTCACATCTTC